GCAGGCCAACCGTGTATATAATGTTGGTTCCCCTTCACGCTTCATACCAAATTTTGACAAAATCTATTTCCCCTATTTGGCCCCGCCCCTCTGTCCCAAGTGGGGCCACACTCACTGTTGTTACAAAATTGAGTCCCTTTTGCCCAGGGATGCTCCAAACCAAATCAGGATAAAATCCCTTAATCCATACGGTAAAAGAAGGAATTAAAGGTTCAACCTCTATTTCCCCTATTTGACCCCGCCCCTCTGCCCCCAGGGATGCTTCACCCACCCTTTATACAAAATTGTGTCCCCTTGGCCCAAGGATGCTCCAGACTAAATTAGGAGAAAATGCCTTAATCCCTACGATTAGAAGGATTTTAAAGGTTTTACCTCTATTTTCATTATTTGGCCTTATACAAAACTGAGTCCCCTTGCCCTAAGGATGCTGTAGACCAAATTTAGCCAAAATCTACTTGGCCGTTCAGGACTAGTAGCGTTTTAAAGGAAAAGTTGACGGACGACGGACGCTGCTGTGTGGCATAAGCTCACCATGGTCTTTCAGGCCATGTGAATTAAACAGCAAAATTAGACACTACTGATTCTAAAGGTTTTCAACAAATTAATCCCTTTGCCTGCCTCTTTAAAAATTGGTCGAAAGTCATTTTTGAGAATTCTTTATCAAGGCACTCTATTCGCTGTAAAGCATCAGGCTTCCCACTAGATCATTCACAAGATACAGTTTAAAGATTTCAACAATTTCAAAAACTATTTCTCTCATAAACCTGTAAGTATAAAGGTGCTAACACATTTGTATTCTATGACCTAGAGAATGGGTAAAGGATATTCATTTAATCAAACTTGATAGCACTGTCTCCATCTCAGAATGTTACAAATTAAATATACTCCAGGCCTAGTTATTAAAAGGGGGATTATATTAGTTTAATCAGTGATTAGTGCAAATTTTCTTTTTCTTGCATCTAAACAACACTACCATTAATTGGTTTAAAACTTTCAAGACAGTAAATATATTGCCAAAGTAAGTCGCATGCATGATAACACCTTTTTACACAGTACATTTATGTAATTAGTAGAGGTTAAAAAATGATGCTTAATAGTGAACTAAACCTTAGACTCATCGTACTCAGAAAACAATGTTGAAAAGTTCAAACACATTGACTGTTGTGACCTTGAAAATGGGATATGACAATTCAATTGAAAAAAAATAAGCACTTCATCCCAGCAATCAAATGAAAAATCTACCTATAGTACCGGTATTTTTAATTACCCAAAACACAGATATGTCTACCTACAGTGCAGGTATGTTTAATTACCCATTCCCATTACACATGTATAATTACCCAAAACACATGTGTATATAACCACAGTACAGGTATATCTTATTACCTAATACACAGGTTTATCTACCAGCAATACAGGTATGTCTTGTCATCCGATATACAGTTATATCTACCCACAGTACAGGTATGTCTTGTTATCCAGTACACAGGTATATATACCTACAGTAAAGGTATGTCTTATTACCAATACTTAGGTATATCTACCTACAGTACAGGTATATATCTACCTACATGTATATATATATATATAGCTACAATACAGATATGTCTTATTACCCAAAACACAGGTATATCTACCCACAGTACAGGTATATCTTATTATCCAAAACACAGATATATACTAGCGGAAAAAAGAAACTGTGCATGCCTAAAATGTGTTATACAAATAAATGTGTATGACGTAGATCAACAAGGTTTTCAGGGACAATTTATTTGTTATCTATTAACAGTTGCATTTCATTTTCCACGTTATGGAATAAATAAGTTTCGTTCAGGAGTGACGTAAACACAGCAGGGGTCAATACTGAGTTCACAAAGTTAATACCTCGTATGTCCACCGTTTGCTTTAATGCAAGCCTGGCAACGTCGACGCATGGAGCCTATCAGACGGTTCAAGAATGCTTGTGGGATGGCATTCCAGATCTGTACCAACGCTGCAGGCAAATCAGCCAACGTCACCGGTTGATTAGGTAATGCCCGTAATCTGCGCTTCATTTCATCCCAGATGTGTTCAATGGGCGACAGATCGGGGGATACAGCAGGCCAGGGCAACATGTCAACGTTCTGCTGGGCCAGAAAGTCAATAGCGACACGAGCTGTGTGTGGCCTGGCGTTGTAGCGTAATGTGACGTTGCTGCCCTTGCACGAATGGAACGACGTTGGTCCGGAGGATCTCGTCACGGTAAGGTAGCGCGTTCAAATTCCCGTTAACAACCACCAGACACGTTCTCCTGTTGGCTGTGATGCCGCCCCAAAACATAACGCTGCCTCCGCAGAAAGGACGTCGTTGTACTACACACGTGTCACGGAAACGTTCTCCAACGCGACGATAAACTCTGGAACGGCCGTCAATACTATCCAGGTGGACTCGCGACTGGTCCAGAAACAAAATGCCTGCCCAATCCCGTCGAGTAAATCGCAGATGCCTTCTGCACCAGTCTAGACGTGCTACACGATGACGTGGCAGAAGAACAGTTCTCGGGCTTATTGGTAGCAACCAGGGATTGTCCGTGCAGTCAAACTTGCCGTTTGGAAGCGAATTATCAAATGGACAAGCCGAATATGGTTGTCCTGTTGACGTGACGTCACACGTGGACGTCCCGCACGAGGTCGAATGCCGACGGTGCCAAACAGTTGATGTCGTCTTCGCAAATCCCGGTTAGTGTTTTGATGGACATGAAAACGTGTAGAGACAACGGCTTGGCCCATACCAGCTTGTGCCATACCAATAATCCGGAGGCGGTCATTTTCATTGAGCCTCGGCATAGCATTATTCACAAATTAAAACGTTATAATGCTGTTTTTACTGTTCACTGGTCTCAACAGTGACACAATAGCTGAAAAATAAACTTTCATTGTCGAATTGGATGGCTGGACGAGAAAAACGTGCAAACTGGTCAACGCCTATAAAGAGAAAACTGCACGGGAAAAACTGTCAATGACACACGGATAATGTGTATGTGTCATTCTCGGTCATGTGTGTGAATTTTCATGTATATATACAGTTGGTAATACATGTTCTATAATAATTTACCGCATGCACAGTTTCTTTTTTCCGCTAGTATATATACCCACAGTACATTTGCATGTCTTATTACCTAACACACAGGTATATCTACCTACAGTACAGGTCTGTCTTATTAACCAAAACACAGGTATATCTACCCACAGTACAGAAATATCTTATTACCAAAAACACAGATATATATATATACCCACAGTACAGGTATGTATACCCACAGTACATGTATATACACCAAAAGAACAAAAAATGACTTGTTACCAATTACACACTGTCAGGTATACAGGTATCACCTTACTGAATACAATTATATTTCATACAACACACACCAAGTATGTAAATGCTACGGTTTATAAACACAACCTACACTGACCTACTACACCGTCTGTTGCTTCATTATCACTGTTTGTCTGTCGGTTACAACGCTCAACAGGGAAGTTATTTACTCTGCACACCTACAGGTCTAAACAGGTAGATCTACTCGTTGCAGTTGGTGGGTGTCCCGGAGCAGAAATGTGTTAAAATTATTTACCTTTCAAAAGAATTATCAAATTTAGCAATAATCATCATGGGACTTGAAGTTTGATCAAAACTTTTACAATGTCAGCAGGAAAGTGAGAGATTTAAGAACAAAGCAACAGGGAAATTCATCACGTGAATTTGAATTACAGGGCTGGATAGATATGGACCATGTAAGTGAACATTCTGAAGTGTGGAATTGAAAACTTGGATTCATCATCACAGTAACCCTGTGACATCAGTGATCGTGAGGTAGTTATTCTACAGTGTTTAACATTACTGTACCTTTAACAAACATATATTACTGGATGGGACAGCGAAGTTTTTATTCCTTTACATTAAACAATATGTGACAGTTTTAACTGATAATGATGTAAACAAGAACAACAAACATCTTCACGATAACAACAAATAATTTAACTTTTCATCAAAATGGCAACCCCTATAAGCCAAATGCCTCTCCGAATGAAAGGTCAAACGACCTGTAGTTATCATAAGGAGAGAAAACTGGACTTTTTCTGTGAAAAATGTCGTGAACCGGTCTGTCCAAAATGCCTTTCTTCTGTTCACAAAGGCCACTTCGTATGTGAAATAAGTGAAATCACTCCTCAAAAGGAACTAGACATTAAAAACTTTATAGACAGAACAGAAAAAAATGGCCTTGTACAAATTGGAAAATACATCAACTCCACTGATTCACTCCTTAAAGACAACACTAGTACTTTTGAGAAGCTGTCACAAAAGTTAAAGATGCAAACAGATAAATTAAAACAAGAGCTGGACATGCTTACAGCACAGACACTCTCTCTATATCACAAAATGGAAGAGGATAATACCAAGCTGATAAAGAACTACAAACAAGACCTGGAGATGTACGAGAAGCAACTTAATCAACAAATTCAAGAATGTAAAGCAGCTCTCCAGTGTGGTTCACACATACAGGTTTATGATACATTTTGTGAGATCCATTCTCCTACATACAGTCTCCCTGTAAAACCTGTCCTGGGTACTGCCAACTTCACTCCAAATGAAAGTCCTCAAGATCTTTTAAAAAAAGCCTTGGGAAAAGTTATCACCTCAGGTCAAGGTCAAACTTTCACTGATCAGAATCGGTCAGTATCAACGTCTGATGATCTGGGACAACCCTCTACACAACAACAACAACGGTCAGAAACAAAAGTGAAGAAAGCAGTGACAACATACAAACTACAGCCACAGACCAAGGTAGTGGAGGATTGGGAGTCTCCATGTAACATTGGTTCTATATGTCCCACCACTGATGGTCAGGTGTGGACCAAGAGCAGTGGCACATTAACTCTCCTGGACAAGAAGGGTAAAGTAATAGAGCAAGTCAATCACAATGCCGGGATCAGTGACATCAGTCTGTCACCCACCACACACACACTGTGGGTCTGTGACATAGACAACAACATCATGGAGCTGGTATCGGGACGACTGACACACAAATTCAGTACCAAGGAGGAACCCGAGTATATATGTATTACAGCCAGTAACCATGTCATTGTAGGGATGACCAAACACATCTCAAAATTTACCACAGATGGTAAAATGGTGTGTACTACAATGGATAAAGGGACTGGGAAACCATTAGTGTGTACACCACGCAGGATCTCAGAGTGTCCTGCCACTCACAATGTGGCAGTCACTGATTTCAGTCATGAATTTGATGGTGGTAATGAAAATCAACATGTTGTTGTGATGGACACTGATTTCAAGGAGCTGTTTGTATATAGAGGTGACATCCCCAGTACATATAAACCAACACCACAAACAGGAGGTGGATCATTTTACCCCAGTGATGTGGTGTATGACAGTGTGGGTAACCTGATCATAGGGGACTATAAAAACAAAAGGGTCCTACTCATCAGTGGAGGTGGTGAGTTCCTCAGGGTCATACACACAGACACAGCCTATCCATGGGCTGTAGGTATAGACAGGGGGGATGTCCTGTGGGCAGTGTTTGGGACATGGAGGGATCAAGTCAAACTACTACAGTACAGCAGTGTGTGAAACGTACCTGTAACCAAACAACTAGTATATCTAGTTACTGTGACAACAACATGGAAATCAGAGACAAAGGAAACTGATCATGATTACCAATCAACTAAACATGTGTGACATTCACAGGATTTTAAGTAAAATCTCCAGACTACAGATTGTGAGACATTCACAGGATTATAAATAAAATGTCTAGACTACAAATTGTGTGACATGCACAGGATTATAAGTAAAATGTCCCGACTACAGATTGTGAGACATTCACATGATTATAAGTAAAAGGTATAGACTACAAATTGTGTGACATTCTCCGGATTATAAGTAAAATGTCCAGACTACAGATTGTGAGACATTCACAGGATTATTAGTCAAATGTCTAGACTACAAATTGTGTGACATTCACAGTATTATAAGTAAAATGTATAGACTACAGATTGTGTTAAATTCACAGGATTATGAGTAAAATGTCTAGACTACAGATTGTGTGACATTCACAGGATTATAAGTAAAATGTCCAGACTACATATTGTTTGACATTTACAGGATTATAAGAAAAATGTCTAGACTACAGATTGTGTTAAATTCACAGGAATATGAGTAAAAAGGCCCTATAACCACGGACAATAATCTGTGAACTGCTTGATAAAGCGGCATATAAGAACCGCAAATTATTGTTATTATTAAAATGTCTAGACTACAGATTGTGAGACAGTCAGAGAATTATAATTTCGAGACCAAATGGGCCGATACAACTCTGTAGCCATTACTACCAAGGACACTGGTGGAGCCAGACCAAAACTAAAAAATATGGCAACAAAGCCAAACAAGGTACAGCTAGTCGTGGTCTAGGTATCGCTAGTCGTGGTCTAGGTACTGCTAGTCGTGGTCAAGGTACAGCTAGTCGTGGTCTAGGTACTGCTAGTCGTGGTCAATGTACCGCTAGTCGTGGTCTAGGTACAGCTAGTCGTGGTCTAGGTACTGTTAGTCGTGGTCTAGGTACACCTAGACGTGGTCCAGGAACAGTTAGTCGTGGTCTAGGTACCGCTAGACGTGGTCTAGGTACTTCTAGTCGTGGTCTAGGTACAGCTAGTCGTGGTCTAGGTACTGCTAGTCGTGGTCAAGGTACACCTAGACGTGGTCCAGGAACAGCTAGTCGTGGTCTAGGTACCGCTAGACGTGGTCTAGGTACTTCTAGTCGTGGTCAAGGTAC